AGATAGAGTTGCAATTAGGTAGAAGGAACAAGTGCTGGTATTCTTTTGAACAATAGAGTGACTAGAATCATAAATCTCAGGCAATGACTTTTGAATAAGACCCCTAAAGCTCAGGAAATAATATTAAGAATTAATATATAGAGTGGTACAAGTTAAAATTCTTACACACAGCAAAGGAAACAAGAAAGTAAAGACAATACTTATAGATTGGGGAAAAAAAATCTTTGCTAGTTACTCTTCTAACAGAGGATTAATTTCCAGAATATACAAAGAACTAAAAAAAAAATACCAAAGAAACAAATAACCCAATTAATAAATAGTAAAATGAACTAAACATATTTCTCAAAAAAGAAATATAAATGGCCAACAAATATATGAAAAAAATGTTTGACATTGTTAACAATTATGGAAGTACAAATCAAAAGGACCCGGAAATTTCATCTTACTCCAGTAAGAATGGCAGCCATCAAGAACACAGATAAAAAATGCTGGACGGTATATGGAAAAGAATGTTTTTACACCATTGGTGGGATTGTAACCACTATAGAAATAAGTATGAGTATGGAGGTTCCTCCAAAGACTAGGCATGGAACCACCTGATGACCCAGCCTTGGTATTTATCCTGAAGAATTAAAGTCATCATACTACAGTGATACGTGCATAACCATGTTTATAGCAGCCCAATTCACAGTAGCCAAACTATGGAACCAGCCTGAGTATTCATCAATATGGATGGATAAATTTTTTTTAAAACGTGGTTTATGTACACACAATGGAATTTTATTCAGCCATGAAGAAAAATGAAATTATATCATTTGCAAGAAAATGGATGGAACTAGAGACCATTATGTTAAGCAAAATAAATCAGACTCATAAGGTCAAGGATTGTATGTTTTCTGTCATATGTGAAAGAGAGGCAAAAGGAAAAAGAAGGTGGGGGATTCTATGAAAATTGAAGAGAGATGAGTAAAGGAAAGGGAGATGTGGAGGGAGGAAAAGAGAGAAAGGGGAAATACTGGGGAATAATATTGGCCGAATTTTATTGTTATATTGTGTGCATGTGCATAATATATGATTTTAATGTACTAATAAAAATATGAAAAGAAGAAAAACTCATGTACTATCATTTTAAAATAGCAGTGGATTTCAAATGATTCACTACAAAGAAGTGATAAATATTTTGAGTGAGGGATAGGCTAATTACCCTGATTTGATCATTACATGATGTGTGCATGTATATACATCAAAAATCATAATATTGTACTCCTTAAATTTATGCAATTATTATATGTTAATTAAAAAAGAAAAGAAAAGCCAAACAGGAAATTGGGTAGAAAAAGAAGACTACTAGAGGTTGGGGAAAGTAAGGGAAATCAGAGTTCCAGGTATGAACATGTTAAGTTTGATACCTGTCAGGTGTATTCATAGGAGAGATGCTTGGAAACTTAACTTTTAGAAGATTTTGGAAACTCAGAAAGAGTTTTAGACCAAGAGTGTAAATGTATGAGTTGACAAGATAGGTCTGGTATTTAAAATCATGAAACCAGTGAGTTCACTCAGGGAGTGAGTATAAAAAGAAAGTGAAGAGGTGCAAGACTTGTACCCCAGGGTACCTCCAGGGAGGTGTGAAGATACTGCAAAAGAGATGGAAGAGAGCAATCAATAAGAGCAAAACTAGAAAGAGAGGAGCCAAGTGAGAAAGGGTTTCCCGGGGGAGGAAGTGGGTTATTGCTTGGCTCCCACTTAGGAGTGCATGTAAAATGAGGACAGAAGTGAACCCCAGTTTTTGGCAACATGGAAACCACTAACAGCATTGACAAGAGCAGTGTCAGTGAAGCAGTAGAAATGAGAGTCCTGCTAGAGCAAGTTCAGTGACAAGAGGAAGAGAGAAATCACAGGTAAGGAGTGCACCCAGCTCTCAAAAAATTTGCTGTTTTGTTTTTAATAACAAAAAAAAAGAAGGTATTAACTGGATTGGGGGAAGTGAGGAAAGAGAGGTTTGGGGGTGTTTTGTTTTAAGATGGGGACACAACATTGTATGTGCTAGGAGATAAGGGGAAATTAAAAGAAAGAAAATAAGGTAGAGAGCAAGAGAACTGCTAGAACAGTTTCCATGGATACGCACATTGGATGGGATGCAGTGTGGAAGTAGGTGGGTTGAGTTGATGTTCCACAATGCAACACACTTCACATGCTTAGCTTTTACTAAGTACTCAGAATGGATGGATATTAAGCCACCAGCTGTCAATTAAAAGGACTGGGCTAATATGATCTTACAGTTCCAGTACAGCAACAACTCAATAGATCAATGAAAGTAAGAAGAATAGAATAGTGACAATGAAATCCAGTCAGTTAAAGTAGCATTGAATCATAATGACAAGTGCCAAGGATGCTGGTCTGATAGTTTGGGTAACTATTTACACTGGACTCACAGGGTGAGTTTGCCAGAGCCAGGATTCTGCTTGGTACTTGACTCCTTATAGATGCTCATCTGGTTGATTAATCAATTATCTTTTCCTTTTAAAAATTCAACATGATGAAAAACCCTTGTCTGTTGCCTCACAAACACTGCATGGAATAATGTTATTCCCAGGCACATTTCATATTTCTCCATTAACTTTTACTGATTGATTAGGGCTGAGCCATAGAGTCAATCTATGGTGAGGAACCAAAGGAATGATGGACAGTGCCATTTCCATTGGGAAGCAAATGAGTTGGAGCCACTACTGTCCAACATGTATTTATTATATAAACCCAACTGTATGCCAGGTAGTAAAAGTAATTCATCACATTTATGAAACATATCTCAGCAAATACAAAACTTTGGGAAGCTACATTTTGTTATTTAATGCTTGTATTCTTTTACTCATAATAATTAACTTCACCAAGGTATGGTAGATAATGAATTCATTGCATCTTATTTCTTCAGTTATTTTAATATCAATTTGAAGCTGTGTTCCTTTGGAAAAAAGACACCCCAGGTATAACAAAAATCATATCTAGGAATAGAGCAAACTGTTTGACAACACATCATTACAGAAGAAGTAACATGGAAAACATTAACAAAAATGATAAAACTTCCAATTTTACAAAGTAAATTCAACAACAAATCACCAAAAGTATTTAAAAATGCAGGAAAGTCTTAGAAATCCACTCTGGGGATCTACCTCTGTCTTTCTCATGATTGTTACAATCTGTGGATGATAATCATTAATATTACAGAATCTCCATCAATGAAACTTTTGTTTAACCCATACCACTGTGACTATGTTCTAGGATTTTTTTATACTTTTGCATGTTTTGAAATTGCAGTTTTTTCCTTGAAATAATTTTAATAAAATGTGTGATGCAATTCCTAAAGGGAAAATGGTAAACCAAAATATCTCAGGGGTGCTTTGGCTACAATGTATGGAAGCTGATTTCTGACTATGGATTAACAGTTACAGCAAATCCATCACTTGTTGCTCAATCTAATAATTTGTTAGGCAAACACCCCCAAATCCAGCACACTATGTGGTTTTGTAAATAAAGTTTTATTGGAACACAGTTCCATTCAATTACCTTTTTTTGTCTAATCCTGCTTCTGTCCAAGAATTTTTTAAATTCATAATTTAGCAAATGAATTTCCATTAGGGACAGGCACCTACAAGTCAAATAGACTGACTTTTTAGGCTGTCATGAGAAAGGACTTTTTCACATGCTTCTGTCAAAATGGAAATATTTGAAATACAATTTTGCCCTCTAAAGCCTGTAATTTTTGTAACTTATTTCTACTCCATACATCTCCACACTGCATCTAAACCTCCTAGCACTTTATTTTTTCGTTAAGGACTTTGGAAAATATGAAAGGACTCTTAAAAGATTATTCTTAAATTATTGTCATTTATTCAAAATATCAGTGTGCAACTTTTTTCCAATGTCACATGTGTACGAAGAAAAGCATGGAATTGAGTAATCTTCCAAATGCTGGTATTTGTTTCCATTGTTAATCTTTAGGTCCTAATTTTTCTCTGTCCTAAGCAAGAATCTAAACATTTTAATTCTTTCAACAGAGTACTATAGTAAGTTTATAGTTGCTATGTCTCAGACAACCTACATTTAGAGAAGGAACATTTCTAATTCAATTTACAATGATGTCAAGAAACAACACGTATCTGCGGGCAAAGATAAGAAAAACATGCAAGGGTATACAGTGATAGCTCTACTTAAATAAATAAACTTTTGGTACTAGTGATTAGGTACACAGGATTATTATGTGTTTAATTGGCTAACGTAACAATTTGGAATTACTTCTAGTCACATTTAATTGGATTTAGAATCTCTGGAGAAAAGAAATAGAGAGGCCTAGCAAAGAAATAGTCATAAAAGTAAACTGTTTTTCCAAAGGGTGCTAAGTAATGAATTAATATCCATTGCACAATAGTTTTTAATATCGCCTCAGCTTAATAAGACCAAAGCAGTGATTGTACACACTAGATACTAAAACTAATTCAATTAGGCACAAGGCTTGGGGGAAGGGAATTATGTGCTGGAATCAGATATTTTTTATTTTCAATTTCAAAAAAGCTAACTTAATCAGAGGTTAGTAATCATTAACTTGGGTAAAGTCTGAGGTATGCTTAAATATTTTTCTAATAGCTATATGTGGTTTGAAGACATTTTAAAGTCTATAAATTTGCTATTATTCTATAAATGCTTGGAAGCTTAATACAAAGCAACAAAAACAAAACAAATCCTTATAGTCTTTAAATATTCTTATACTGTACAAACAGGAAAACCATCTAGAAGAAAAATGGCTTCTTTCTTCTCACAGTTTTAGTTTAGCTACAGAAAAAAAAACCTACTTTCTACATTCTAAAATGTGCTTTATGTTTTACTTAATTTTAGGCAAGTCAAATTTATGCGATACAAAATCTTCCTCAGTATCTGTATATACTACCTATTATGGCTTTCCTTCTGTCCTGTGAATTTGTTTGTTACAACTCTGCTCTTGTTCTCAGGAGTGCCATGATTGCTGACTACATATTCTGGCTCAGAGGAGGAAGTGACCAGTGTGTAAGCAAGCTCATCAAGCTATATTGGCAGGTAAAAATTGATGTCCCAACTGGGGAGGAGGAGCTCCTCTCATGCTTAGGACCAAAATGAAGGATTGGTACTTAAAAGACTGCTGAAAAAGGTAGCTCTGGGCATATCAATCAGGACACTACCCAATAGTAATATATTTATAATGAAGTAGATTTTCTAAGACTAATTTTAAGGGCAAAGTCAAGGTTGTTAACCCTTGGCCCATACTTCAGTTTTACAACCCAATATAAATTTTAGACATCCCTGGAACTATTTTTCCAGACATGCTGCTATAATGACATGATCCTTTAAAATATGAACATTGTATCCAGAGTATATAAAGAACTCAAAAACTGTTGTCAACATTTAAGAAAAACAAGTAATACATAAAAGGCAAATGAACTGGACCTGAACACACTTCTCAAAAGAAGAAATACAAATGACCAAAAATTATATGAAAAATATTCAACATCTTTAGCCATCAGGGAAATATAGGTCAATACATTCAGATTCCATGTCACTCCAGTTAGAATGGCAACCATCATGAATACAAATAATGATAAATGCTGGTGAGGATTCATAGGGAAAAGGAATTCTTAAATACTGTTGATGGAGATATAAATTAGTACAGCCACTATTGTAATCAGGATGGAGGTTCCTCAGAAACTAAAAATAGATTTACCATATGATTGAGGTATATCATTCCTCGGTATTTATCCAAAGAAATAAAATCAGCATATTTTAGGGATACATGCATACCCATGCAGCACAGTTAGCAATAGTAAAGGAATCAGCCAAGGTATGTATCAACAGATGAACGATAAAGAAAATAGCCATAATAAAGAACAAAATTATGTTGTTTTCTGGAAAATGTGGATGGAACTGGAAAACATAATTTTTCAGCAAAAATAAACTCAGAAAAGTATCATATGTTCTCTCTCACATGTAAAAGCTAAGAAGAAAAATGAGGGGAAAGAACTCAATGAAATTAGAAGGGAGAAAAAAATACAGGAGGAAGGGAATTAGGGGGAGGGAGGGAAATGAAACTTCATAGTTTGAAATTTCCCAAATTATGAAATTGATCAGATTATGTCTTTAGGTATGCACAAATATACCACAATAAACTCATTATCTGTATAATTTAACATGCTATAATAAAAATATGAATGTTGTATTTTCATAGTTTATTATTGATCTATGGCCTATAAAAGTGGATGTTAGAAGTATTATCAATTACATAGTAAAAGAAAATGCTAAGATCAGGTGTATTTATTGGGCAACATTATTTGAAACACTTAATCAACAACAAAGTACAAATCTTCTTTCTCTTTTATTATTCAAAATGACATCAAGAAGCCATACAAAGATCAATTAGATGCCAAAAAATTATCCATAATTTCTTACAATTATAAGGAGAATTTATAATTTAGAGGATGATGTCCTTCACAACATACAAGTCTTTTCTTGTCTTATTCTTCCCCCATAAGTGGTCAATAGTTTCTGCTGAAATATATTTTAAATGGAAAAATCACTCATCCCACTCCCCCAAAATATTCAAAACCTACTAATTATTAAACTGTTTCCTTCATTTAAAGTGGATTTCCATTCCCTGAGAACTTCCATCCAATAGTTACCTCTAGAGCCACATGGACCAAAGGGAAATTCATTTCCAAATGAAATGTTTTTAAATATTTGAAAACTCAACTACATGTGCCAACTTTCTCCCCTAAATTTTCTCTTCCCCAGACAATCTAGGGGTTTCTTTATATTTCAGGATAATTTAATTTAGTTGAATATGAATCTTTTGAACCAACTAGAATAAGAGCTGCTAAACTCCTAAAAAGGAGATGAGATATAATCAGCAGCAGCCTTGTGATGCTTCCTGATTTTTCTCACACTTTCACTATTATATTGTGGCCCCAGTTTTCTTTCTCTGTGTATCACATATTATCTTTAGTAGGCATAAAGTACTATATATTCCATATAAAATTCCCAGTCATTTATATTCTTATGCGTAAATTTGTGGATCTCAATTCACCTACTATAAAAAAATTAAAGATAGTCCTACTGTACTTGAGACTTTCCTAAAGGAATCTGTAACATACAAACTGTAGTAATTGCTTATGGGCATGTAAAAAAATAGATGTAAAGAATTAGTAAGCATGAAATCCTTAGCAGGAAGAGTGAAGCAGGTGGCATCACTATACCAGACCTTAAACTACACTACAGAGCAATAGTAACAAAAACAGCATGGTATTGGCACCAAAACAGACTGGCAGACCAATGGTACAGAATAGAGGACTCAGAGACTAACACACAATTATCTTAGACAAAGGTGCAAAAAACATGCATTGGAGAAAATATAGCCTCTTCAAAAAATGGTGCTGGGAAAACTGGAAATCTATATACAACAAAATGAAATTAAACCCCTATCTCTTACCATGCACAAAACTCAACTGAAAGTGGATTAAGGACCTAGGAATTAAACCAGACACTCTGTGTCTAAAAGAAGAAAAAGTTGGCCCTAATCCTCATCATGTGGGATTAGGCCCCAACTTCCTTAATAAGACTTCAATAGTGCAAGAATTAAAATCAAGAATCAATAAATGGGATGGACTCAAACTAAGAAACAATCTGTGAGGTGAATAGAGAGCCTACATCTTGGGAGCAAATTTTTACCCCTCACACATCAGATAGAGCACTAACCTCTAGGGTATATAAAGAACTCAAAAAGCTAAATACCAAAAAATTAAATAACCCAATCAATAAATGGGCCAAGGACATGAATAGACACTTCTCAGAAGAGAATATTCAATCATTCAACAAATATATGAAAAAATGTTCATCATCTCTAGCAATCAGAGAAATGCAAATCAAAACTACTGGAAGATACCATCTCACTCCAGTCAGAATGGCAGATATTATGAAGACAAACAATAATAAGTGTTGTTGAGGATGTGGGGAAAAAGGCACACTCATACATTGCTGGTGGGACTGCAAATTGGTGCAGCCAAAATGGAAAGCAGTATAGAAATTCCTTGGAAAACTTGGAATGGAATCACCATTTGACCCAGCTATCCCTCTCCTCGGTCTATACCCAAAGGACTTAAAAACAGCATAATACAGAGACACAGCCACATCAATGTTTATAGCAGCACAATTCACAGTAGCTAAACTGAGGAACCAATCTAGATGCCCCTCAGTAGATGAATGGATAAAAATATGTGGCATATTGAATGGAATATTACTCAGCAATAAAAGAGAATAAAATCATGGCATTTGCAGGTAAATGGATGCAGTTGGAGAAGATAATGCTAAGTGAAGTTAGTCAATCCCAAAAAAAACAAATGGCGAATGTTTTCTCTAATATAAGTTGACTGACTCATAGTGGGGTAGGGAGAGGGGCATGGGAGAAATAGACGAACTCTAGATAGGCAGAGGGGTGGGAGGGGAAGGGAGGGGGCAGGGGGTTAGCAATGATGGTGGAATGTGATGGACATCATTATCCAAAGTACATGTATGCAGACATGAATTGGTGTGAACATACTTTATATACAGAGATATGAAAAATTGTGTTCTATGTGTGTAATAAGAATTGTCATGTATTTAAAAAATAAAAGCAATTAAAAAGATTTTGAAAAAAAATAAAATAAAACCTACTTTCTAGGAAAAAAAGAATTAGTAAGCATGAAAAATAAATACTATGAGTTATAAATGTAGACGAGAAAGGAAGACTTTTTTTTCCTTTTCACATTTTTATTGGTGCATTATAGTTGTACATAATGGAGGGATTTGTTACATATTCATACTTGCACACAATATAACAATATAATTTTGGCCAATATCACTCCGCAGTAATTCTCCTTTCCCTTCCCTCCTACTCCTGAGTCCCTTTCCTCCATTTTACTGATTTCCCTTTGATTTTCATAAAATCCCCCCCCATTGTTCTTTTCCTAAAAAAGAAAGACTTTTGAAAGACTTCTTTAGAGAAGAAAGAAAGGAACTGAATCTTGAGGATTGGGCAATATTCAGTAGACTTGGCAGAGAGTAGGTTCCCAGTAAATATTGGTCTTCACTTGTTCATTCATTAAACAAACATATATTGAGTATCCACTGTGTTTTCTACATTGAACTAGGAAAAAATAGATACAATACAGGTATAATGTAAGACAAATTGAGAGCTTGAAATTTTTGTAAATAAAAAATGTTTTAAGTTTCCTTTAATTTTCAGAAAACATCAGTACTCATATTTTATTTACCTCAAATGAAGAAAATAATCTCCACTTACCAATATACATGTTTAAAATATTAAAAGGAACAAAAGCAAATTCTTTGTTTTACTATTTTGTATTAATAAATGGCAAGAAAAACATATTTCTCTTTATATTCTTTTCCTTTTTTAATTGAAAGTTAATTGCATAGTGGAAAAATGCCCATCTGCTAGTCAGATCTGATTCACTACATGTTCTAACACCAACTAGTCTAGTAATAGAATTTCAGGGAAGTTAAGTCTCTTGCTGGAACTAAAGGAGCTTCAACTACATAGTAAGGAATGACCAGCATAAAGAGTTTGAGAAACTCTATTCTTAAAGCTCATTTTAATACTATAATGGCATCCAAATTTTTAGGCTCTTCCAAAGATCTTCCTAAAATTTTAAGGAAAAATGAAGCAACATAATTAGAAATCTCATCCTGCAGATAAACTGCATATACAAAAACCCTCCTTCTAGGCCCAACACCAGAACAGCACACTATTTCCTCACCAGTTATATACTGTCTTCTGCTAAATGACTTTATTTTCATTCAAATGTACCCATGTCACTCCATCCTGCCCCAAACTTCATTCTGTCCTAAATCAGAAGGGGGTTTTGGACATTGCCATGGACATGTCATCTTTGAAGACAGGGGTGCCAGGGATACCCAATCCATCCTGGCCATTACACTTACCAATTTAAGAATGTTCCCAAACATCTCAGACTAGAGATTGCATCTGTGTATACATTTGAAGATTGACTAGACAC